GGTGGAGGGTACGACCTGGGGGGGGGGGGATCCCTGCAGGGAGCGATGAGTGATAGTCTCGCTCTCTGCAAGGAGATGATTGAGAAGTGAGCGAGCGACGGTATGTGTTCGCTCACTTCCCGATCTATTGAGCCCACATGTGACAGTTTCATTGTCACACGTCGGCTCGAACTATGAGGCTGAGTGATTTTCACTCAACTCATGGTTCTCCTTTAACGAAGAACTCCAACATTTTAAAAATGAACCCTTGCAGTGGGGCTACCCGTGCACTGCAAGGGTTAATTGCTAATTTTGGTCTAGCGTCTAAAATACAAAAACATTATACTCACTGGAACCTCAGTTCTGCCTGGTTGATAGACCGGTCCCTGCAGCCTCTTATTCCCCACTGGGCTATGACGGTCTCAGCCCCTCTGACATCATCACATCTAATACAGTCCATTGACTTTAATTGGACGTGAGAGCGCTTAGGGGCATTACACAGTCAGAGCGGAGGGGAGAGAGGTGAGCGGTCACTGAGAATCAGGTAAGTATATATTATTTATTCCGGCCCCTACACCATAATGAGCAATTAACCCTTGCTGTGCGGGGTAGCCCCACTGCATAGGTTCATTTTTAAAATGCCAAAGTTCTTCCTCAATTTTTTAAACCAGCAGTTTTGCTGATTCATTGATGTAGACTATAACTTACACCCCAAGTAATTAATCCCTGGTGATCTGTGCAAGCTTTTGCATCCATTCTACTATCATGTTTAAGCCCTGAAGAAGGGGAGGTCTTTAAACCCCTGAAACGCGTTGGAAGACTTTTGTTGTCATTTATGAACCCATTCTATTATTAAACACTTTGTACTCTCATACTGTCTTGTTTGGCGCTCACATTGGCAGGGGTGTCACTGGCTGGACAGAACTACACATTATTTGGCAGTCAAAACAGCTCCCATGTATATAGTTCAACTGTGCATTTAGCTGTTTGAAGTTCACCTTTAATGTGTTTTTTGTTTTCTTTTGTAAGAGAGCTACGACAGCTTTTGCCGACACATGTCAAAGAAGTCTGGAGCTGTGGTGGTTTCAGTCGGGTATGTAGAGTTATCAATAACATGTACACAATCGGAAAATAGCCTAGATAGAGGGCCCATTCACACCACATCCAGATTACCTCCAGACCAGACCAGACTGTTTCCGGACCCAAAATGCATCCCAATGTATCCCTATGCTATTTCTGGCCACTGTTCCCACCAGCACAGTCCTGTCCAGACCAGACCAGAAAAATACTGCTTGTCCTATTTTGTCTGGTCTGGAACGCACCTGTAAGACCATTTTAAAGGAGAATTATAGTTCTAGCCGACCTGTGACAATGAGACTGTCACAGGTCGGATCAGTAGATCGGGAGGTGAGTGAACACATACTGGCGTTCGCTCCCCTCTCGATCCTGTCACGGCTCTCTGCCGTGACAGGGGAGGGGCTGGATTCCCCCCTCCCCGCTCCGATCCGCCAGCGCTGACTGGCGGAACGGACGGGGGAGGGGGCGGGTACAGCTGGCTCTGCCTTTAGATAGGCAGAGCCAGCTGTCAGTCACGCAGCTGGGCGGATCCAGACATAATTGTCGGGGTCCGCCTCAGCTGCGGCGTCTCAGTATACCGTGAGCAGCAGCTCGCAGTATACTGCGGCGTATACTGAGCCTAGGGTGACGGGAGGATGCTCGCATGTTTTTGCATTTATCTACTGTTAACAAGCAGTAGATATATGCAAAAACATAAAAATAAAAAAGTTACAAACAGGTTTAAACTTACCTGCGTCTCCATTGCGCGCTCCCGTCCGAAGACCTGAAGAGTCTCGGGCGGCCGCAAAGGATCTTGGAGCGGGCGCATGTGCAGTACAGATCTTCGGCCAGGAGAAGAGGAGAGACACAAGGTAAGTCAATGCAAGCAGCCTGCACCCGCACAGACTCCATGGGACAGGATCAGAGCTGGAGTCAGCCCTGGAGGGACTGCTGAAAACTACTGGAGAGAAGATGATCGGATCAAGAGGCATCACATAAGGTAAGTCCTTAGAGCAGCAGGAAGGGAGGGGGATTTCTTTTACTTTAATGTCACTTTAAAAACATATTTTTTGCATATAATCAATATAGATGAATACGTTGTGACTGTCACTGTTTAAACAGTTAAAAGAACTAAAGGAAAATGCAACAAAATATTTATAACTGGAAGATTTCCAGAGGTTGTTTTAAAGGCTTAGAAAAATCTGTTTTGATGCTTGCTAAGTGCTTTGCAAGTGCTTGCTGTACACATTGCTTTGAAGGGGAACTCCAGGAATGTTAAACGTTAACCCTTGTAGAGGGGCTAGCCCCCCCCCCTCCCCCGCACTGCAAGGGTTGTCTGCTAATTATTCTCCAGGGGCTCAAATTTGAAAATAATACTCACCCACCAGGCTGCTAGACTGGTCTCTGCAGCCTCTTCTCCCCGGGACTCAGGTAGTCTAAAGGTGCCCATACACTGCACGATTCTCGTACGAGAATCGCAGGAAATCCCGCGATTGTATGAGAATAGTGCAGTGTATGGAAGGCACGCAATCGTTTCTACTGTACGGTCGCACGCCTTCCGTCGAACCAGCAGGCTAGAGAACGCGCTGGGAATCGTACGATTCTCGGCAAGTTAGTGGCCTGCTTGTTCGACAACTGCCTAACGGGCCGGTGTGCGCACACAGCCCGTTTGCAGTCATCTTAAGCCCGCCCCTCATTGCAGTCATCATAATCGATGATCGCAAGTACGATCTGCCTGTCCAAGATGGGCAGATCGTACGTTTTTTAAAGTACTTTACAACCCTCGCAAGACAAAAGTCTTGCGAGGGTTGTAAAGTGTATGGGCACCTTTAGCCCCACTGATGTTATCACATCTGATACAGTTCATTCACTTGCATTAGATGTGAGGATGCTGAGGGACATAAAGCTGGAGGAAATGGGAGAGAGGTGAGGAGTCACTGCCGCAGGACCGAGGATCAAGTGAGTATAGCTTCTTTATTCCAGCCCCTGAAGAAAAACCAGCAGTTAACCCTTGCAGTGCGGGAGTAGCCCAACTGCAAGGGTTAACTTTTTTTGCATACCTGGAGTACTTCATTAAAACAATCCAAAAGCCATGTGTACAAAGTCTGAGAGCACATTCCTAAGACCAGCTGTTAGGAGCATGTCTAATGCTCCTAAGCCTGTCGAAAACCTCCCAGCCCCTTCTGGTGGTTGCCCTGGCTATTATCTTGCTCTTGATCTTGTATTTTGCATCCTTGTCCTGAACCCAGTGCCTGTCTTGTTTCTTGAACCCAGTACCTGTCGTGTTTCGTGAACCTTGTATCTGTCTTGTATCTTGTTTCATGTAGTTGTCTTGTATCCAGTTCCTGTCTGCTACCTTTCCTGCCACTGCCTGTGACATTCATAGTCAGAGTATATAGTCCAAGTCCTGGGGACATCCGAGTACTGGTAGGTGCACTTACCTTATGGGAAAGGCAGCTGCTAAAGGTGAAGAAAGTTGCCACTATATACTTTGACTAGAGTGTCTGCATCAGGTCCTGACAAAAGTTGCGTCCACAAGTTGATGACCAATAAAAATGAACACTAACATCTAAAGATGTCTTTATTTTAGGTACCGCCTGGCACCGGAGCACAGATACCCTGCAGCATTTGATGACAGTTTAAATGCCACGATCCACTTCCTCAAGACAGCAAAGCATTATGGTGTAAATCCCTCCTCCGTTGTCATTTGTGGAGACAGCGCTGGAGGTAATCTTGCTGCTGGCATCTCTCAAGTTCTGGTCGCTAGGACAGATATTCCGAAACCTTTGGCTGTGGCTCTGATATACCCGTCTGTCCAGATGATTGAATACAACTTACCTGCATACCAGCAAAATGGTATGGTGCCTCTTTTACTCCGAGAGCGCTCACAGTTCTACAGACTGACCTATTTAGGAGGGGATTTGTCCATGTCAGAAGGATTGGTCAATGGTGTCCATGTTCCTCCTGAACTGAGAAAGAAATTCTCGAAGTGGTTGGATGCCGGTAATATCCCTGATGGGTTTAAGGTTAGAGGTTTTAAACCCCATGAGATTTCTGACTTTAACAATGAAATATATCAAAGACTCAAGCATGCCTTTGACCCAGCTTGCTCTCCGTTGTTAGCCGAGGACGCTGTCATATCCCTGCTGCCAAAGACTTACATTGTGACGTGTGAGTATGACGCTATCCGTGATGATGGTATACTCTACAAAAAACGGCTGGAAGATAACGGAATACCGGTCACCTGGTATCACGTTAAAGATGGCTTCCATGGAATGGTCAGCTTCTTTGATCAGCCAGCCTTTGAATCGGGGAAACAGGCCATGGATAATTTTGTTAACTTTGTAAAAGAGGCCTGAATGATTAAAGGAAAGCTACACGCTGTGACCAAAGTTTTTTGAACACGTGACCATTAGACATGTGCGATTCGTTTCGGAAAAATTTGTTTTTCGGACGAACTTTCGTTAGTCGGAGATTCGGATGTATCCGAATTTCCGAATAACAGAAATGACGAATTAAAACGAAATTTCAGACAAAATTCGTTATCGAAAGTCTGTACGAAGTTTCATTTGTGGACACATTTTCGTTGCAGCAAAGTGACATTAAAAATATATTATTTTTTTTACAGTCTGTAGAAGAGAAAAAAAAAGCATGTGGTTCCCCTTCCCCTTTAGGTCTGGTAGGAATGTAAGGAGGGACCCCCCCCCCCCACCAAAATTAAAAACAAAATGCGTGGGGGTTCCCCCCGAAATCCATACCAGGCCCTTTAAGTCTGGTAGGAATTTAAAGGGGGAACCCCACCCCCAAAGAATTAGGGGTGGGATGAGGCATTTTATTCCTCAAAGGTCCCCCCTAAAATTCCTGACCATCACAAAACACTGACCATCACACCTATATAAGCTTATTGGACATCCATTTCCAAAACCATTGGCATTACCATGGAGCTTGTGGCTGTAACAGCCTCTACTCCCATGGGAAGGCTTTACATAAGAGTTTAGACTGCGTCTGGGGGAATTTGTGTCTATTCAGCCAAGAGAGCATTTTTGAGGTCAGGTGCTGATGTTGGACAAGAAGGCCTCACTCACAACCAGTGTTCCAATTCATCCCAATGGAGTTCAATAGGGTTAAGGTCAGGGCTCTCTGCAGGCCACGTAAGTCCTTCAGCACCAAATCGGACCATGTTTTTATAGAGCTAGCTTTGTGCATGGGGCACAGTCATGCTGGATAACAAAATGGCCTTCCCCCAAACTTTTGCCCCGAGGTTGGAAGAGTATCATTGTCTAAAATACCTTATATGCTGTAGTATTAACACTATTCCTCACCAGAAACACCCAAACGCAATAATTAAGGAAGGGGGTTAACACATACTCTCGGCCATAATAGTAGGTATCAGAGGTCCCTGCAAACATTCGGGCATACAGTGTTTCACAATATAACCACATTCAAGTAAATGATTTAATATTGTATGCAGATCAATAAATGTAAACCTCATTTTTTGTGTCCTATTTGCTAAAAAATAAAAAACTCTACCTGCAGCTATCCTGCCTATTCTTAGTGGTTAAGGATGTAACATGTTGGGAGCTGGGAATTAGGACACCCCTTTTATTCACTGACATTTTTTAATAGGGTTTTTTTTCTACTATTTGATGAAAAGTCTGTTGACAGGATACTTGATATTTAAAGGTTAAATCGTGTTTATGGCAAGAACCCAGGGGCCCTGCAAGGCTTTCTTTTATATATTGTGATATTGGGGAGCTCACAGAGCACTCGCACAGGCTTTTCCATTAACAAAACGTCTTTATTTTCTGTTCAAAAGGCAGACAGTAAAGGAACTCCAACATAAATAGCTTGCTGCAGCATATAACAGATATGGGCTCACCAATGCTCACCCTTCACAGGTTATCCTGTTCAGTGTCCCAGTCCCAGGACCTTACAGTTTTCCTCAACAGGATCTCTTCAGGAATACACTGGGCACTTTGAGCAGCTTTCAGCAGCCTTTGATTTCACACCCATACACCTTGGGTGCTCTCTCAGCCTCTCTAGGCCTTCCAGCCTCCAACACATACACAGCCTCCTGGCTTCTGGGTGGAGTCCGCCTGACTCCGAGACACAACCTGTCCCTCTTCCCAGCAGGAGCCCTGAACACACTCCAGCACCCTCCTCATGAGAGATGCACACAGGTGCACAATCAGGTGCTGGCTGCCGCTAAAGCCTGGACCCAGGAATGGAGATTTCATCCCTCCCAATGCTCTTTGAAATCTCCCAGTTCCAGGAACCCAAGCCAAATCAGGAAAACCTAGGAAGAACTGCAAAGCCAGCTCTTTCCCAGTAAACGTTTGCATTTTCTGGAACTGCTCAGCCCCCCTGGCTGAGAGACCTGGGTGACTATATTGCCAAAAGACACCCTGGCATTGCCACGCACTGCCACAATATAGATATATCTATATATCAGAAGGTCTTTATTGGCTTATTTCCTCCCACGTATCCTATGCAATATATGACCAGTAGGCCTTGTTTACTTGAATCTGGCTTGTTAATCAATTGTAGCCATATACAGTACGTAGTGGGAATCATACTCTTGCCCTGCACTCAGGTCAGTTGCTTGAAAGTGAACAAACATTTTATGGCTTTTCATGCCGACAGCAGTAGGTATGACCCTATTGGTCAATGAGTCCACCTCTGAAAGGTGAGTGGGGATGGAATAAGCTTGCCTTTTACTGAAAAAGTCATGATTTACATATAACTTCAGCTTCTTATATATTTGGATCTCCTGATCATTTCCACATGAGGAGGCGGCAGGCACACTGCAAACATTGTGCAGCAGAGTGCCTATGCTGCTCTGCCTGCTGCCCCTCCATGTGACGCAAAGAGATGCCACCTTATTATAGGGACGGCCCTGGCAAAGAGCACAGGATATTGTCAGCTCACAAGATTTCTGGCAGGAGTTTTTTTTTGCACAGATATTACAAAATGATTTCAATGGTATCATTGGTACACTGACTTAAAGGGAGCAAATAAGGAAAGGTTCATTGGCAGGGTTTACATACACAACCATTGGAGAGGCAATCAATGTATTGAACAGAAAGATGCTGCCTTGAAGATCTAATGCACCTGGAGAGTGTCCATGTCTTTTTCGGGTTGCCCTTTGGAGAACCAACTAGTTAAAGAGCGCCTTCAGTTTGAAAATGTCTGTCCGTATCTATCACAGGCTCGTACCATTACGTCTGTTCTCTCCACACCATCCCGCTTGCTGACCACGCCAGAGCCATCTGAGACCGCATCTGCATTTACAAGTAGTGTTTCTCAATCATTTCCCCAAGTCAACTAAGCCTTGGCTCCTTTCACACCTAAGCATTTTATTCCTCAAAGGTAAGCGCGACAAAACTCTCAAGACAAGGAATCCTATGGATTTCTATGGCCCCTGTTCAGGCATGAGCAGAAAAACACCTGTTTCTTGAAAAAGTACATGAGCTATTTTTTGGCAGATTACAGAGCTTCAATGAGAAACTTTGTGCAACAACATGCTCAGATGTGAACAGGAGCCATAGAAATGAATGATGTGAATGGAACACCGGCACTCCAATTACAGACATGATGCGTCTTTATTGACGTGGATGCGACATATCACACAAGTGCAATGTTTCGGAGTCACACAGGATCCCCTTCCTCATATCTCGAACTTTGCATTGTGTGATATGTCGCATCCACGTCAATAAAGACGCATCATATCTGTAATTGGAGTACCAGGGTTCCACGTCATGTGACGGTGCCATCCGTCGGCCACCGTTGCACCCACCTGCTCATTCTTGGATTAAGCGGTCAGGAGTGCGATGGGTATATGGACTTCTGCATATGAATGAATGGGACTCTTTGTCTTGAGCATTTTGCCTTGCTTACCTTTGAGAGACAAAACGCCTAGGTGTGAACGGGGACTTAAAAGCTGTCTGAAAGGAACCTGAATGTATTCCCAGGGCAGCTGTTACCCCTTTTATTTCTTCTACTTATGACAGTACCATTTATATTTTTAATTGTGGTGTGTGATCTGAAATTTCCCTCTAATAAACATATTTCATCCTATGATTGTCTATTATTTGATGATGGATGTGAATGTTTCTAGTGATATTTATACCGGTTATTATATTGCAGGTGTACCAATATGTAGGTTAGTGTAAGGGAAGGTCACTGTAACAGATTAGAGAGCTGTGTTTTCTCAGTTATCACTAGCCACTGATAGCATGACTGAGCTAGGGCATTGTATAGATTAGTCTTTAGTGCGGACTATGCCCTGATATACTGTATGGCTCTGATTCTCTTGTTCTCATACAGTATGTGTCTACAGATCTGGTCATGATCAGACTCGATACAGGAATTTTAATATTCAGTCATTAGTTATTTTAATTGTGCAATCTTATAAAAGATTCATATTTTTTCACAACCTTAGGATTTTTTTATAATTTAGTTTTCCTTAAAGTCCAACATAGCCTCCTGACTCCCAATCCAAACGAGAGCAGTGCTGATGTGATGATGTCAGTGCCTGTCTCTGCATCAACACACTGAGAACAAAGGGCACCATTATTATACAGGATTTATATAGCGCCAACAGTGTGTGCAGCGTTTTACAATATAAGGAAGACATTACAGTCACAATACAATTTAAGACAAGATGGTAAAGAGGGCCCTGCCCGTGAGGGCTTACAATCTAAAAGATGGTATCACCTTTACGAGGTGGGACCAGGGCTGTCCCCATAATGAGGCAGCCTGGGACAGTTGCCTCAGATGCCATCTCCTTGGGTAACGTGGGGGGTTGGCAAATGTGCTGCCACCTCCTTTCCAGCCAGAGTGTCCCAGGTTGCTAAGAGCAATGGGTAAATGTCAGTCTGGAGGAGTAGGCGTTTCTAGACAAGCTGCATTTGCATGCAGTTCCCTCTCAGTAATGCACACATGATTGGAAGATCTGCAATACAATGAATAAAAGGGGCGGGCCAGGGACAGTCAGGCTGGTGAAGATGCTGGATGTCCTCCAGCCAGGAAATGAGACGGGCTCTGTCTGGCTTGCTGCAACATCTAATGCACATTATGAGAAGCTCACAGTGTGCAGAAAAAAATTGCCTGAGGAATGGGGCTTGGCGGGCCTATTGAAAAACTTGGTTCTCTTGGAAATGTTTCCGATCGTAGTGGCGGTAGAAATTTGGGGCCCTGCTTTTCGTAACAAAAAGGTTAGATTTCACTGTGATAACCTGGGGGTGGTGCAGGCCATTAACAACATTACAGCTTCCTCTCCGCCCGTGATTCGCTTGCTGCGCTACTTAGTCTTGTATTGTTTGAAGCTTAATACCTTAATTTATGCCGTCCATTGGCGGGAGTGTCTAATTCCTTAGCCGACTCCTTATCTCGTTTTCAGTGGGACAGGTTCCGTGTGTTGGCGCCGGGAGCGGAGCATTGTGAGGTTCTCTGTACCCGCCCCCTGGGGCAGCTGCCTTTGAAATCATCTCGGGATTGCTTTGTAGTTCGTTAAGCTGCCGGACGTGGGCGGCATATGCGAAGGTATGGCAGGAGTGGTTTGGGTTCTTGCAGATGGCTGGTCGGGTGTCCTTTGATGCGGTAGGCGCAGAAATGCTGCTGTACTTTCTCGGGCACAATATTTCTCAGGGTGCGTCGGTGTCTGGGATTGCCTTGACAGGATCGAGAGGCGAGCGAACTCCGGTATGTGTTCGCTCACTTCCCGATCTGCTGAGCCGACCTGTGACAGTCTCATTGTCACAGGTCGGCTAGAACTATGAGGTGAGTGAAAAGCACTCACCTCATAGTTCTCCTTTACGTATTGCATATGCGCGTCTGTCGCGCGGTTTTTTTACGCGCGTTTCCGAGGGCTACTTGGCTGTATCCCAATGGAAAACGCGCAACAAAAACGGACCAAAGTAGTACATGTACCTTTTCAGGCGTGGGCCGTTTTGTAGCGCGTTAGGGACGGGCTGAAATACGCCAAGGTGTGAACCAGACCCATTGAATACAATGGGATTTAGATGTTTGAGCGTTTTGTAGAGCGTTCGTCGAGCGTAGAACGCGCTACAAAACGTTCAGGTGTGAACGAGGGCTAAGGTTACTAGCCTAAATACAACCCCCCTCTAAAATAAAATCCCTCTATATAAAGAGAAAACGTGGATTTTGTTTTTGTCTTTTAAGCAAATTGTGATAAAAAAACTCAATGAGGGAAACAGAGTTTCTGCTTTAGCAAAATTTCACTGCAAAATCAGTTTTGCCTAAATTGCCTTCCTCACCCCTAATAAAAAAAAACAAAAAACATACATATGACAGCCAGGGAACTAATATCTGCATAAGCAAAGCTCAGCAATGGCAGCCTATAAGATTTACTCATGACAGGTGCACTTTAATGTTAAATCAGTCCAGTTTGCAGTCTGTAGTGTGAAGTTTTCCTATCAGTCTACAGTGAAAATGTCTCCGTACCTAACTAACTCAACTAAACTCAGCACAAGTTCTTTCTGCCACTCCCCCTGTTGCTGCAATTGCTCATTTATCTCAAGTAGTGAACTGTTTACCAGGAAGTGGCCAGGAGTCAATTCAAAGTCAGCTCTGACAGTGCTGAGAGCTAGAGAGCCGGGGTCATGGGCTTGGGACTTGCTATTCTGGCGATCTTCGTCATAATTGCCATTGCATTATGTATTCTGTTGCTGGTGGGCATCATCTATTTTGAATTTTCCAACTCAAACATTCCTGCCGGAGTGGCAAACCCTGGCAAACTCCGCACCATACACTGCATCTATGTTGGCATCGCTGTAATGGTAAGTACATTCTTTATTTCAAGCTTACACTGTTGTACGGCTACAGTATGGCCCGTCAGGAAGAACGGTTCCTTGCTAGAACCCGACATCCAGTAGATCTTAGAGTGGACCTTGCACTATTGTAGGGCTACAAGTTCCAGAATGGCCTGTCAGGAAGAACAGTGCCTAGCAAGAACCCAACATCTGGTAGATTTTAAAGTGGACCTAGCACTGTTGTAGGGCTACCAATCCCACTATGGTCTGTCAGGAAGATGGTTGCTAGAAGACTACCCCCGCACTGCAAGGGTTAACTGATCATTTTGGTCTACGGCTGAAAATCACATCTTCAATATTCTTCTGTGCCACAGCTAATTACAAGTTCCCCTACAAATCAAACAAGAAAAACAAGTGCTGATGAGATGATAGCAGGCTGTGATGTATGTCCATTACTGTTGCAATGTGTCTTCAATCAGACTGCAGCCTCATTGAAATGCATTATGTCTGGGAGAACCAGTATTGGTTTCTGTAGCAAGTCTGACACCACTGGTCAATCAAGTCTGATTTCAAAACTTCACTTTCATGTTGCTAGTTTGTTAGAAGACCAATTCAAGGCAAAACGTTCTTGATCTTCTACCTTGCTAGAAAGTTTCTTTGCTAACCGGGCTGATCCTTCAAAGTACCAAGTACATGTCCTGTTCACCACTGGATAAGATTAATGATGGGTAATGTTACTAAAGCTGGCCACATACTGCATCAAAATTTGAGCATTTTGTATGGCCAGTTATAGTGTGAGCCAGAACTCACATAAAGAGCTGCGTCTAATGTCCTTAAATCGGGTGCTTTAAAGTGGGCCTTGTATCAAAAGCAAGGTCTACCTGTCATGTAGACCCCGGTAAAAAAAAAGCCCAGTTAAAAGAAATTCTCACCTTATACGCTGGCCTCCTTTGAGCTCACCTTTGCCGGATTGAGGTCATTGGGCATTTTCTTGGGATTCTGGGTAATCCAAGGTGAATTTTGTGAAGAGACCCCCCTGCACAGTATTAGTGCAAATAAAAAAATAAATAAATATTAAATTAAATAAATATGAACAGTACTCAACTGTTCTAATACGGCTACAATCACCTTTGGAAAAAATAAAAAGTAGTACAGAGTGTAATCTGATACAATGTATCTTAACCTAAACATATTTGTGTGGGCAATACGCGCTGTGCCAGGTATGACTTAAGCTGCCCATACACCTTGCGATCATCGGACAAAACTTTTTGTCCGATGATCGAACCGTCGTACGATTTTCGTACAGCGGCTCCATCCTGCCCCGATCATCACAAAAATTAAATCAGCAGTAATTTTAACAAATCACCTGGACGAATTGCGGTAATCGACCGCACATATTTTCATTTGCGCATGGGCAGTGTAAATCGTATGAATTTGGACATACGGAAACGCCACCAACCTTGAGAAAATCGGACGACCGACCGAAGTTTTCTAACCTGCTAGTTAGTCAAAAGTCGTACGATTGTACAGTATTTGCGGTTGTACACTGCCCATCAACCTTACGAATATCGGACTAAAACGCGATCGCATACGAAAATCGGACGATAATCGTAAGGTGTATGGGAAGCTTTAGAGTCTTCATTAGAGATTTTTATTTTCTAAAGACACAACCTAAGTTCTGATGTAAACTTAAATTCTGTCGTTCTCATTGACAGGGCCGAATCCTGCAGAACATGTTCATATGCGACCAGCTTACCTTTATCAGATTCATCAGAGAAAAATTAATGTCCAGGAAATTAGGAACAGATCCAAAACTCTTTATCAAAAATGTGAAGTTTGATGGCATCCCTGTGAGAATTTACCAACCAAGATCACCCTCTGCTGGGGGAAGAAAGGGGATTATGTTCTTTCACGGTGGTGGATGGATGTTCGGAAGTATCGGTAAGGTGTAGCTTGGCTCTTTTATGACCAGAGATTATTGATGCCCAGGCCAAATTTGGTAGCATCATTATACATGGGTCAACTTGACAATAACTCTATGACTAATTTGCATGGCTAAAATATGTTTTACACTTTTGTAAGTTAATAAAAAGCTGGTATTGTTTACATGGCATAAAACAATTCTGTACTGTACTTTTTTTTGTGTATATTCCATTAAAAAAATTTAATACAGTAATTATACTTGACAATTACAGTATTAAACAGATGCACACTGTCTGCAGTGCCATCTGTAGGCTGAGGGCCTAGTTTGTGAATGAAGCCTCCGGCTTGCATGTAAATAAAATGTCATAGCTGTTGAGAGATGTTGTGAACCACTCTGATTGTTGGGGAGATCCTGAGCAGGCAACAACAGCTGGGTTTGAGAGTTTGCAGCTGCATTAGCAAGTAACTGCGGAAAGCAAGTACGTTTATTTACTTATCTTCAGCATGGGGCATCATGCGAGCAGGAAGGGGTTAAATAACTATTCAGATGTGCCTGACCTCTTCTACCAGCAGGCCCAGACTGGCCTTACAGAAGAACTGATCTGAGTCCGGGTATATATGGCGCTTCAGGATCCGGATAGACCTTCCATATTTGCTGCCCATCCGATCAAGGCCATCCTCAGGGGTATCCAGAAGAGTCAGGCCACGGTCAAGTTGATATGTCGGCCTATCACGGGGGACATCTTTCGCAGACTGTCAGAGGTTCTTTCGCTTTCACCTTTCGGGCTTCTTCCCAGTCTGGTGCTCAAGTCAGCCATGTATTTAGCGTTCTATGGGTTTTTGAGGCCTGGGGAGGTAACCCAGGCTAAACAGGGGGCGGTGGTTCTCTGCAAGGACACTTTAGTTAAGGTGGGTGTCAGCTATCAGCTGCAGTTACCTCACGACAAAACCAGGCAGGTGGGTCCCGGGCACTTAGTCAAATTCTTCCAAACCGGAAACGCTTGGTGTCCAGTGACAGCTCTTGACAATCTCTTTTTGGCTCTTAGTCTCCACAAGTCAACCCCTTACTCCCGTTCCCCATCAGGCCTCTTCCGTCCAGCCAATTCGTGGAACACATTCACATCCTGTTGGCTAACATGGGTTTGAATCCAGCACAGTTTTCTGGGCATTCCTTCCAAGCAGGGGGTCCCAGCACACATCACAAAACACCTGGGTCGCTGGAGTTCGGGCTGTTTTGTCCGATATATTCTGGAGCCACAGGCAGAGCTTTCGGCAAGTGTCACTTACTTGATCAGACTCGGACCACAAGTTTGAAGGCTGGCCTGGATTTGTGGGAGGAGCCTGTGCCTTTAAAGACGGCACGGCTCACAGGCGATTTACGTTGGCGGGTCACGAACGTCCCCACCCGCCCATTCCCCTTGCTTCCATTCATTTCATTTCAGAGTATGCCCCCTTTTAGGCATACTGACCTGTGAAGGCCAAGGCACACCACAGGCCATGATGGGGGGAGGAGGCGGGGGGCGACGGGTTGTCATTTACTTGATCAGGCTCGGACCATAAATATGGTTTTTATTGAGCTCCCGTTGGTTGCTTTACACTACTTACTGCTTATATGCATTGTATATGTGAGCTCTATATCGGTTATGAGTTGACAGTGGTGGTAAAATATAAACGCCCCCTCCAAAAACCCCAAGTTTCCCACGGCCTCCCTCAATTTAGTGCTTAGTGTCTGAATTACTTATTGCTGGGACTGTGTCTAGTCCCATGAAATGCTGATTTTGTGTTTTACAATGATAGCGGTCTCCAGTGGCAAGTTGTGGAGAAGAGGTGCTGTGAAGCTGGATCAGTACAAAAAGTCATAAATCCTGTAGCACTCCTTACCGGAAATCCCCCAAAAAGTAAATGGGTGCTGGAAATGACAGTGGATGGCGCCACACACAAAAATCTATAAATAAATGGTTTTGCACTGACTTATGAGCTTCTGTCGTGCTGGTGGCATCTACCTTTTAAGCTGTAAAGCTGGATCAGGCACCGGGGAAATTACAGAATTTTACCGCTACTAATATACTGGTTTTATTTGTTTTGGTTTCTCAGATTCCTATGATGGTCTCTGCCGCTATATCTCAAAGGGGACAGATTCAGTGGTTGTCTCTGTTGGGTAAGTAGCTGTCAACCTTTGTTTGATGACACAGATACATTATTTAGCCATAGACATGAGGCGACAGTGGGGATGTGACTTCCAAACAATCTTTTTTTTTTAAATTATCGAAGCATGTAAATGCCGAATCCTATTGCCAAAGCAATTTTCATACTGACCTGATCTAGCAAAAATAATAAGTTTGGCTGAAAAAACCCATAAATAAGTATGCACCTGAGACCTGGGATCATGCATATCCATAAGGATTCCAAAATGCTTTTTTCGGTATATAAAAATTGTGCACGGTTTTTCTGCCATCAGAGAGGAAACATGAACACCCAGGAAATGGTTGCTTTAAAAATCTGTATTCCTGCATGTTCAGATTTCTAAATAATTTTTTGCTAGAAAATGCCTCAAAATAGAACTATGGGGTAAGTGTGTTTCCACATAGTTCTCCTAACAGTCACGGGAAGACATATACTAGTGTCCTCCCGTGACCCAAAGCTCAGTATATGGCGAGCTACAGATCGCGGTATACTGAGACCATCGCAGCCGGGACGGATCCTGACAATGCTGTCGAGGTTTACCCAGCTGCATGAGTGACAACTGGCTCTGCCTATCGAGAGGCAGAGCTAGCTGTACCCGCCCCTCCCCGTCCGTTCCTCCAGTCAGCGCTGGAGGAGCGGGGAGGGTGGGGAATCCCTGTGGGGAGCGGTGACTGACAGTCACCGCTCTCTGCAGGGAGATGATCGAGAAGTGAGCGAGCGATGGTATGTGTTTGCTCACTTCCCGATCTATTGAGCCGACATGTGACAGTTTCATTGTCACACGCCAACTCGAACTATGAGGATGAGTGATTTTCACTCACCTCATAGTCTCCTTCAATCGCTCTGAAAATGCTGCTTCCGCCTTCGCACTGCAGTGCTCTGTACTGATATAGCTGCGTAACAGCCACACCCCTCCAGGGCAATTGTCCTCATACAGACTTGTGTAGCAGAGAAAGAGAGTGGGTGTGTCTGGCCAGGTCTGTTACATTACAAAGATGGCTGCCCCGATAGATACAGTAGAGAACAAAGTGTGGGCGTGAAGAGAAAAGAAGTGAGTTATTCGCAGGATTACCAGGTGACAGTAAAGGAAAAAAAGTCTGAAACAAATCTATGTAGCCGCTAAATTTTTTTGTTACTCGGTTTAGATAAGATAAAGAATGATGCAGGATAAGTACTCCTTTATTCTGACTCCGATTGTTGTATTAGCGATTTATGCCTTGCTGAGATCTCTATGCCTGGCCTGTATCAGCAGATATTATCACTGCGGACAATCCTTATCAGCAAGCATATGACATGTGACATGTGCATGTGGCCATATTACAGTCAACTATGACACCAGACGACTACTTGGAGAAGAAGGGCGGTACATTACACACAAGGGGAGGGAATGCAGAAAAACATGATGCAATAACCAAAACGACCACAAGATGTGAGTGTATTAACCAGCTATACCAGGGGTAGGCAACCTGGGCTCTCCAGCTGTGCTGAAACTACAAATCCCATCATCCTTCTGCCTCTGGGAGTCATGCCTGTGGCTTGCAATGCCTTATGGGATTTGTAGTTTCAGCACAGCTGGAGAGCCAAGGTTGCCTACCCCTGAGCTATACTAACACCAAAGATAATGGCTTAAAGGAGAACTATGGGGTGTTTTTCCCCATAGTTCTCTTAAGGGTCATGGGAGGACATATACTAGCGTCCTCCCTTGACCCAAAGCTCAATATATCGCGAGTTACAGCTCGCGGTATACTGAGACCGCAGCAGCTGGGACGGATTCTGACATTACTGTCAAGATCCACCCAGCTGCGTGAGTGACAGCGGGCTCTGCCTATTTAGAGGCAGAGCCAGCTGTACCCGCTCCCTCTCCTGTCCATTCCTCCACTCAGCACCGGAGGATCGGACAGGGGAGGGGGGAATCCCTGCGGAGAGCCGAGACTGACAGTCACAGCTCTCTGCAGGGAGATGATCGAGAAGTGAGCGAGCGACGGTATGTGTTCACTCACTTCCCGATCTATTGAGCCGATATGTGACAGTTGCATTGTCACAGGTCGGCTCGAACTATGAGGTTGAGTGAAAATCACTCACATCATAGTTCTCCTTTAAAAAAATTTACTGTGATTCTCATTTCACATTAATATGAATATTAACTATGACTATGAACCGCGTGATATTTTACAACTGTGTAACAGCACACTCTTTCATGTGGAAATAATAGTTTTATCTTCTTTTCCTCAGTTACCGCCTATCACCAGAACACAGGTACCCTGCAGCATTTGACGACTGTCTTAATGCCACCATCCACTTTCTAAAGACTGCACAAGCATACGGTGTTGACTCTTCCTCTGTTATTATAAGTGGAGACAGCGCAGGAGGTAATCTCACGGCTGCCGTCTGTCAAGCCCTCGTAGACAAGACAGATCTTCCGAAGCCCCTGGCCCAGGTTTTGATCTACCCTGCGGTCCAAGCAGTTGACTTTAACTTGCCGTCCTACATACAGAATAGGGCGGTGCCCATTTTGTATCGGGAGCGAGCAGTGTTCTACATGTTAAATTACATGGAAGGAGACCTGTCCATGATGGAAGAAGTTCTAGATGGAGACCATGTCCCCGTGGATCTGAAAATGAAATTTAGAAAGTGGTTAAGTGCCGATAACATCCCAGATGAATTCAAGCCTCTGGGGTATAAGCTCAGAATCATGGCCTCCCACTCTGAAGATGTCTATGAAGCCCACAAGCAAGTGTTTGAGCCTCATGTTTCTCCGTTGCTTGCTGAGGACTCTGTGATTAGCCAGCAACCAAAGGCTTACCTTTTAACATGCGAATTCGATGTGTTACGCGATGATGGAATACTGTACAAGAAACGTCTGGAGGACCATGGAGTGCCAGTCACCTGGCACCATGTTAAAGATGGCTTCCATGGCATTGTTAGCTTCTTTGACAGTGGGAAACTTACATTTGAGTCTGGGAAGCGTGCTGTTGACAACATAGTGAATTATATTAATGGGATTTGATTGTGAAATTTTGACTGCGTTTCCCAGGTTCCATATTTGTAGGTGTTTTTAAAAGTGCCACAGTGTCATTCTTGCGCTTGAAGTGGATCTAAACATAAAACCTGAAACTTTCAGCTTAACTAGCAAACTGTCTCTAGGCTATATCTCTTCCTGTAAATCAAACCCAACTTTTCCATCCCTTTATTATAAACCAACACTTGTTCATGAATGCTGGAGTTCAATCATGGTGGATCCGGTACACAGCATATTTAACAACAATTTTCTACTATAATATTTTATATCACCACCATTCCATACAACTAAAATATACCAATTATGACTGCTCAGGGAGAAGCAACCAATCAATGCCAGCCAATACCCCCCCCAACCCCCCAACAGAACCCTCTGACTGCCTTGGCTGAGTCCAGGAACATTGTCCAACTAGGCTTGGAGTAAGCCCATAAATTCTGCAGTGTTTAAGATAGCTGGTGTATCAGTATTGGGCATAAGTCATATTTAATGCTGCAGGTTCTGAAAAGTCAGCCGGGTTCGGAAAATGTTGGTACTTTTTGGCTTTTTTCTAACAATTTGAGATGTGTTCATCACTCAGAAGATGGACAGTCCCCATAGAGATCTATTGCCAGAAGGACATATACTTACCCTGAGCTTGATAGTATGAGGACAGACATACAGGTGAAACTCGAATAATTAGAATATCGTGCAAAAGTAATTGCAGTAAGTGCTGCAAAAGGGGCCCAAACCAAGTACTGAGTACATATGCATGCTTGTACTTTTCAGAGGTCCGATATTGTTCTATGTACAATCCTTGTTTTATTGATTGCATGTAATAATCTACTTTTTTGAGGTTGTGGATTTGGGGTTCTTGGGGTTTTCATGAGCTGTAAGCCATAATCATCACAATTATGACAAATCACGGCTTGAATTATTTTGCTTTGCATGTAATGAGTCTATCTCATATATTAGTTTCACCTTTTAAGTTGCATTAGTGAAATAAATGAACTTTGCACGATATTCTAATTATTCGAGTTTCACCTGTATATGGCTGTCTGAGAGGTTGTCTGAACCCTGATTACCTCAGCTTGTACTTAGCAACGGGGAACCGCCCCTTCGTGTGTGTTGGGGGGGGGTTACTGTTGGGGGGCTTCAGGGAAATATCAGGGGTCTAAACAGACCCCTGACATCTGCCTTTTAAAATAGAAAAAGAGATTGAGGACACAGAGTCCTCTGCCCATACAGGTGGGGTAGAGCAGCGGGGAGCCGAGGAGAAGCTTGAGCCTGTGCCGCTCCTCTTCTCCCTGCTGAGCCAGGGCTGTGTTTCCCTGTTGCCAATGGCACCCTGTGCTCACCATGGCAACAGGGGTGAGGGGGCAGCCAGGCCGGCCCTGGCTGCGCCCCCACTCAGCTGCTCCTGAGGCGAATGCCTCACTCGCCCCATGATAGCTACAGCCCAGCCCTCTGCCATTTCTTATGGCAGATAAACACAAACTGCACTGGGCTCTTTTTTAGGCCTTGGACTTGAGAGTTGAGAACTACAACTAGAAAAGTGTTGGAAGGCTAAAACAGGTTTATGAATCCATATGCTTTATTTGGCATAATGGGGAATGACTGGCATGCAAAAGGAAATTGTACAGTGTACAATAAAACTTATTAAAAAAAAAGATCTGTACTTACTGTGTAATGTTTAAATGTAATACATTTTTTGGTTGACTATGTGTGAGTCTATCCTAATGTTACCAGATTTTCAGAATGAAATCCGGGAACACCCTACTAAACACATCCACTTTGAAACATACCCAATAAAAATCACAGCCCCATTTGCAACCACACCCACAAAATTACTCCCCACCCCTCCTCTTTTTAACACACCCTGAGACAAATGGTCAAAGACTTGTGGAATAAGAGGCAAACATTCAAGGGCACCTTGGGCACCCTGCGTAGAGAAATGATGCAGCACATGTAGCACACCGCAGACAATTGTGTGTGTGGCCAAATTGTGGTAACAGTAGGAGTTTAAAGGGATGTGGGCTAAATAAAAGCTGAACCTACTCTGCTCTGGGTCAGGAGTGCAGGGGTCAGGAGTGCGAAATGCACAGAATGTAGGAGTGTATAACACACAGGGGTCAGGATAATACACAGATTGCAGAGCTCAGGAGTGCATAAAACACAGATTGCAAAGTTCAGGAGAGCATAACACACAGGGTGCAGAGGTCAGGAGTGCATAACACACAGGGTGAAGAGGTCAGGAGCGCATAACACACTGGGTGCAGAGGTCATGAGTGCATAATGCACGGAGATCAGGGGTCAAGAGTCTGTAATGCAAGAGTGTGCAGGGGTCAGAGCGAGTAATGCACAGAGTACAGGAGGCAGGAGTATGTAATGCACAGAGTACAGGGGTCATGAGTTCGTAACACATAGAGTGCAGGGATCCATAACGCACAAAGTGCAGTAGTGCGTAGCGCACAGGGGTCAGCAGTGTTTAACGCACAGAATGCAGTGTTTAACGCACAATGTAAGGAGTGCGAAGTAACACACAAAATAAAAACATATACTAAAAATTACACCAGGCATACAAGAGAAGACAAGAGAAGTGCAGTGTCCATACATACAGAATAAGAACAGATACCATGAATCACACCCAGCAGAGAGAAGAGGAGCTGTACAGTACAGTATTCGCAGATACAGAATAAAACATACTAAGAATAATAGCTAGCATACAATCCAAGAGAAGTGGTACTGTGCATTGTGTCTACAGAAACATAATACTGGGCAAAGTCCATACATGAAGAAAAGCACTGAGCAAAATATTAGAAGAGAAGCATATTGATCAACAGATTTAGTACTGATCAATATCTATCTGTAAATGTTGTTAATGGTTTAGCAACAAAAATGAAAACCCTCTATTACTGCATTTTCCATGTATGAGAACACCGGGAGGGACTTGCAAAAACAGGGAACTATACAGGGAAGAAGGCTGCACCTGGTAAATGAGAGGAATTCTGGGAGATCCTGTACATCATACAGGGACAATCTCCAAGACTCCTTTCTCGACGTCCATGTCGGGATCCGCTCCGGCTGCGGCGTCTCAGTATACCGCGAGCTGTAGCTCGCGGTATACTGAGCTTAGGGTAACAGGAGGATGCTAGTTTGTGTCCTCCCGTTACCCTAAGGAGAACTATGGGGAAAAACACTGACCCCATAGTTCTCCTTTAAAGTGGCATAGTACATAGTACAAGAATGATCAAGAACTTCAGGCAATCTAAAAATGAACAATTGCAGTTGGGCTACCCCCCGCACTGCAAGGGTTAATCTGTAAAAAATAAGTCAAGGCAACTGGTGTATTTTTCTTGAAGACGTTTCACTGCTCATCCAACCAGCTTTCTCAATTCTAGAATAGGAGAATTCTGAATTGAGAAAGCTGGTCGGATGACCAGTGAAACATTTTCAAGAAAAATACAGCAAGTCCAGTTGCCTTGACTTATTTTTTACAGAAAGACCATGACCTGGATGAATGAGAACCTTCAAAGACCTTCATATTGCAAGGGTTAACTACTCCTTTTAGACCAGGGCAGAGGTGGGCAACTCCGGCCCTCCAGCTGTTGTGGAACTACAAGTCCCATAAGGCATTGCAAGACTGCCAGCCACAGGCATGACTCCCAGAATCAGAGGCATGTTGGAATGTGTAGTTAAAGCACAGCTGGAGGGCTGGAGTTGCCTTCCCCAGGTCATAGGCTAAAATAAAGAAAATATACTCACCTGATCCTCAGTCCTGCAGCGGTCAGCGCTCACCTCTCTCCTCCTCCGCATCCTCACATTTAATGCAGCTGCATTAGATGGGATGATGTCACGGGTCCTTAGACCGCCGGAGCTTGGGGGAGAAGAGGCTGCGGGGACCGGTCTATCAGCCAAAAAGGATCGAGGATCATGTCAGAGTCTTTTCTATATTTTCTCCCCTAGAATAAAATGAGAATATATTTTTTTTAAGATTGACTGGAGTTCCACTTTAAAATAAACAACATAGTTGAAATAAAGGAACATTGTGATGCTTGCAGGGCGACGTCGTCCACAGGCTGGAAATGGAGCTGTCACTGTGATGGTTGCCGTGGCAGCAGTAAACAGTGCTGTGGCTGCAGTATGAGCAGTGAGATGTGATCAGCCAGTAACTACACACCCGTCTGCTAACACTCATCCCAAACACAGGACAACCCGAGCCGGGGTCACCTTACTATGGCTGCGTATACAGACGGGATGAACAAATGGTGTCTGCCGGGCTGGAGGATAGAACAGAAATACTCCAACCAAGTGCTGATTGGAAACTGGGAAGAAGAGAGGAAAAAGGTACCGTCCTTGCATCGCACGCTGAATTCAATGTCTGCAGGTCAGGAACAGAAAGCACAAATGTCCTCTATTCTGTCCCTGCAATACAGAGGACTCACATTGACCCCCATCTAACAGCAAATGAAATATATCTGTGTATTTTATTATTGGTATTTATATAACGCCGACAGTTTACACAGTGCACATTCACATCAGTCCCTGCCTTCAAGGAGCTTACAATCTAAGGCAAAGCAGAAGCTCTAACCACTGTGCCACATACAGATTTTCTCTCTCCCACCCACCCTCCTTTGTGGTTATAACAGGCTCATTTAAGTTTTACCCTTCTTTGCTGTTCGCACAGTTTTAGTGTCTCTACGGAGGGCTACGGAGGGCTACGGTAGTTCCAATATTCAAAAAGGGGGCTAGATGCCAACCAGGGAACTATAGGCCGGTCAGTCTAACATCGGTAGTTTGTAAACTGTTATGGTATAACAGTTAAGGTATAATTAAGGACTATTTGGTAAAATTTGTTAAGGATAAGGGCATAGTTAATGACAATCAGCATGGGTTCAGGAAAGACCGTTCCTGCCTGACTAACTTGCTAACTTTTTATGAGGGGGTAAGCAGAGATATGGACGGAGGGAGGCCGGTAGATGTGGTATACCTGGATTTCTCAAAGGCTTTTGATACGGTACCACACAAGTGCTTACTTCACAAGCTGAGGGCTGTGGGCATAGATGAGGTGGTGTGTACGTGGATAGAGAACTGGCTACGGGAACGTGTCCAGAGAGTATCTGTAAATGGCACCTTTTCAGACTGGGCTAGTGTAATGAGCGGTGTGCCTCAAGGATCTGTTCTGGGTCCCATATTGTTCAACCTATTCATTAATGACATCGGGGAGGGAATAAATAGCCATGTTTCCATGTTTGCAGATGATACAAAAATAGGGAGGGTACTAGAAACAGATCGGGACAATATAACATTGCAGGAGGACCTGGATAAAATAGGGGAGTAGGCAATACTACGGCAGATGAGGTTTAATGTCGATAAATGCAAAGTAATGCACTTTGGACATAAAAATAAACAAATAGTGCCAAATAAACCAATTGCTCAAGCTATTTAGTTACTAAGGTGGATTGGCGCTGGGCAGGGACTGGCCATGCAGGTGCTATACCTAATGAAATTCACTGACACCCATACCTCCCCTTTCTGTGGATCACAGAAGTCTGTTGCAAGGTAGGAGAGACCACATGGTGAAAGAACCACAAGTAGCAGATCGACTTTGCTTCTGATCTGTGACAGATACACTATAAGGATTCCCTTAAGAAAATAGGTTTACAGTTAGACGTGCTCAAGCGGCGTTAGATAGTTAAACAAAACTTCCGCCTCCTATAACTCTGGAGCTAACGATTATTGCCCATGATTGTAATCGGTGGCCTTTAAATAGCGGTATTACGTCCTACACAACGTTTTACTCTACAGCCATCTCTGCCCTAATGTGCTTTCTTTTATTATCTTCTTCAGTTTAAAAGACGTGTCCTCCCGACATCCAGCAGCTGCTATGAAATTGACTTTCTTCGGTTCCCGGACAGTAAACCTGACCGGAATCAGAGAAGATATTATTTGAAAAGAATGGAGGTGAGTGTTACAGGTTCTCAATAAATAGCTCAGTCCACCCTAAGGGCTTGTTCACACCGAATGCGGTGCGTTCCAGAACGGTAGCTGCTGGAACGCACCGCAATCCCTCACAGAACTTCCCCCTGCGTTCTGGGGCGGGAGGGGGCATGGCGGTGCTTTGAAGCCAATGGCATTGCTTCCACACACCCCCACCCGCAGTGCGATCGGATGTGTGGCAAAACTTTGCCTGCGTTCCGCTCCACTGCAAACGCAAAAAATGCTGCTTGCTCTATTTTTTTGCGTTTGCAGTGGAACGGAACGCAGGCAAAGTTTTGCCACGCGTACGATCGCTTTGCGGGCGGGGGGCGTGGAAGCGGTGCCATTGAATTCAATGCACCTCCACAACCCCCTCCCGCCCCAGAAAACAGGGGGAAGTTTTGTGAGCAATTGTGGTGCGTTCCAGCAGCTACTGCTCTGGAACGCACTGCATTTGGTGTGAACAAGCCCTAATGGATATTCTATTTTGGATGGATAGTGAGCGACTGAATGTTTTTGGGGGACTTATGCAGACCTGCAAAGACCCTCCACTTTCTGGCAATTAGCTCTGCCCTTCCATGGTCCTGGCTGTTTCTGGACATTGCACAGTAAGAGCCCGATTCACATTCACCAACCAATCACTGCTGCGGGAAGATATGCTGTATTTATAAAGCTTGCATTTACCTATGTTTGTTTCTTGGAGCATCTTGATTTCCCATTCTTCAGTAGGAAATCCATGTCCCAGTAGCATTCATAGTACACTATATGGTCAAACATTTGTGGATGCCTGACCTTCACATCCCTTACACATCCCCCTCTAAAACCATGTAAATGAATATTCATTGGTATTTAAATAGAGCTGACAATTTACACAGTACACATTCACACCAGTCGCTACCGTCAAGGAGCTTACAATCTAAAATCCCTATCTCAAATGCATACACAGGAGGGCCAATTTAGACAGGAGCCAACTAACCTACCAGCATGTCTTTGGTGTGTGGGAAGACACCTATGCAAGCACAGAGAGAACATGCAAACTCCTTGCAGATAGTGACCTGGTCAGGATTCAAACCAGGGACCCCCAGTGCTGCAAAACAGAAGCACACCACTGTGCCACATATAGATTTGCCACCCCTTTGTGGTTACAACAGCCTCCACTTTCATGGGAAGTCTGTCCACAAGATTTTGGAATGTGTTTGTAGGAACTTCTGTCATTCAGCCAAAAAAATAAAAAATTGTGAGGTCAGGTACTCATGCTGAACAAGTAGATCTGGTTTGTCATCCCAAAGGTGTTGAGTACGGTTGAGGTCAGGGCACACCACACACAAACACAAACACATGTCTTTATGGAGCTGGTTTTGTACACAGCGGCACAGTCATGCTGGAACAGAAAAGGTTCCCAAACTGTTTTATAAAGACGGAAGCAAACAATTGTCTCAAATGTCTTTGTATGCTGTGGTATTAATAATACCCTTCACTGGAAACACCTGAGCTTAATCATTTGGATTGGTGACCACATACGTTTAATAGTAAAATTGTAAAACAGCATTTCTCTGTCTTGTTCACTTTTAAATATTCTCCAGTTCCTGCTCTTCACCATTCACATTTGCCACATAGTCCACACCCAACAAATAAGGATTGTAGTCATAAGTCCTCTTTTCCTAATCACTAACCCTCTGCTTCTGCCATTACTGTATTTTTCAGCAAATTAAGTACGTCTGAGATACATTCATTTTTTATGCACATGCCCCTATGAATCAAGAAAGCAAAAAGTAAACTATCTGACTTTATGGTGCCATCCTGTGGTAATACAACATTGTTACATTGTAATATCAGTTGCATATTATAGGCCTGTTATCAATGTGTCTCTTATTTGAACTGGCAACAAATGGCAACTGCATACATTTATAACCAGCCTTTATAGCAAGGTGCACATGGGAAGGCTTACAGCATTACAAAACACAAAAAGAATCCCAACTAGCCTGGAACAAAGACTTTTGGTGCAGGCTAACTAGCAAGTGTGCTGGGGATTCTTTTTGTGTTTTGTACTCTTATTTGAACTGCCCGCCACGCCCCACACCAATCAGATTTAATGTAGTATTAAATGCTCATTTTTTTTTCCCAATAATAAATCCAGATCAAATATACTGTATATTACCCTGCAAAGTATTTATATAAATTCTCGCACAAACCCTTAGGGCCCGTTCACACCAGACACAGTGCGTTGTCAATGCCTGTGCTCCGGATCTGTCTCAATCAGAAAAAAATGCTGCGGGTGATCGCACTGCGGCCGTGGGGGGCGTGGCTGCGGTGCTATTAAATTCAATGCACCGTCACGCCCCCTCCCACCCCAGAACGCAGTGAGCCTGCCGAGTTACGTTCCAGTGCGCTCCGGCACCGAATTGTGCCGTAACGCACTGGGGCTGGTGTGAACCAGCCCTGAATCCCTGTATGAACCGAGCAGATGGGGAGGGGGGGCGGGGGTTAAACCATTTCCCGGCTTATTCAACTCTGTGCCGTTTGAGCTGCAGTTATTGAGCTCTGCAAACAACATCAAATGTATTTAATACCACAATAGCCCTCAATTTTTTAGATATTTATTGGAATACCTTTGAAATGTTTTATTTATAAAACAAATATTTATAACAACAATAGACATTTCCCTTACATAGTTTTCTTCCCTGTTGCATTTCTTTATAGGGTTTACCAAAGCAACATGTACTTTCCCACCAGGCAGAACCCCGATCTAGGCATCTAGTGTCGCAGTATGATGACCATTACATAAGACACGGAAACTCTACATTGCCTCCTCTCCGCAGCTGGAATAGTAACACCTTAGCCTGGCTTCCAGAGAGATCCGACTTTCCTCTTAGAGGTGAATATTAATTGTTCATTGTTTTGATTCTCCTTTTTTCCAAATGTATTTAATAAAATATACTGTATTTGTGCATTATATACTAGATTTTTTATTATTATTACCATTATTAATAGTTAAAAGGTTTATAGCATGAATGCCTTTGTGTTAAATTGATAAATGTGTTAGCGCTTCTGCCTTGTAGCACTGGGGGGTCCTTGGTTCAAATACCGGCCAGGTCACTATCTATAAGGAGTTTGCATGGTGACCCTGTGCTTGCGTGGGTTTCCTCTGGATACTCTGGTTTCCTCCCACACTCCAAAGACATGCTGGAAGGTTAATTGCACTGTGCACTGTGTAAAACACTGCGTAAATTGTCGGCACTATATAAATACCTGTAATAAATAAATAAATTATTGCTATTTTTGAGACACTACAGGCAGGGCTATCCTTACAATGAGGCAGCTTGTGGCTGCTGCCTCAGACTGCATCTCTATGGGTCACATGGGGGGGACAACATGCAGAGCAACATGACCGCTCTGCTACACAGTGTTTGCAGTGTGCCAGCCACCCTCTTTCCATCCAAAGCATCTCAGGTTGCTAAGAGCTGGGCAGGGAGATGTGTAAGGGCCATACATATCTCCCCACTCAGCTCTTACCTGGAATGATCTGGGCAGCATCCCACTGTGCTCCTGGCAACCAGTGACTAACGTTCGGCTCCAACATCGAGCCCAACCCTAATAAGGAAGACCCATCTCAATATTCTGATTGACCAATGAGGAGCATCAGCATGCCAATATATGCCTCTCCTTTCCTGCAAACATGTTCCATAAGTGAAACTGAGTCCTGCTGTACTGCGGATTACAGGAGTCTAATATAAAGACAGATTTAAGCATTTATGCTAGTTGTATTACAAAATAAATGCAATGATTGCCAAATGAATATGCAACTAGAGTTGTACTGCAGGGCACAGATAAATGGAGTTTAAATAACACCCTTTTCTATTGCAGAACCGCCAACCAACTTCGGTCTGTTACAAGAAAAGCAGAAACTCTGGGGAAAGCCTTCAGAAGAACTGAGAAGTGTCTATTCAGCCTCTTATAGGAATCCGCCAACCTCTGCGTTCATGGCCCCCCGATATGGTGTAGCTCCTCGCTTCCTGTCCAGCACTATGCATAAGAGCAACAATACCAATAAGGCTTTAGACTTTAAGTGTCAGGCATATCTCCAGGTTCCTGACCACCCTGTGGCAAATGTCAAGAACGTGTTGGAAGAGCCCACAGCTTAAGTATCACTGATGCCTTCCTGCACCCATGTCAATATGAGTACAATAAATTTCAATGTATCTCATCAATAATAAGGCTCAAGTATCAAAATTTTATTTTTCAAGTGTATCGAAGGAACGTTCTATATGCAAGAAGATGAAATCAGTGTTAGATAGTGAGAATTCTAATTACACGTATTCCCCTCTTATCGAGTTATCACCAGAACAAGTGTCCTCCCTTGTGGCCCTGGTGACAATGATCACCAGGACAAACAAGGGGATGAATCCCCCTGGTGACGACACAGATGGCAAAAAAAAACCTAGAAGGGTTTTTGGTCAAGAGTGCAGTACTAGATCTGAGAAACTTCTTAGATCCTTATGGTGTGGAGCCTTGTTGGTTTAATGATGTTGGTGTAGTTGTTCGGCTCCTCCTGAACCGTTGAGGGACTTTGGGTTAAGGCTTGAGGTGGAGAAGGAAAGAGCAACACATAGGATGTATAGATGAGCTGATTAGGTGCCAAGGATCATCTTTTTTTATAGGTTGAGTCAAGAACTCTCCTTTACATCCAAGCCTCGAAAAAGTGGAATTCTGTTACCCTCAAAACACGTTGGATACAAACATATAATAAAAGAGGATCCTTTGCACCAAACCTCCTCATTGATTTGTTCTTTTTGATGTTCTCTTCCTCCTACAACCCAATCAATAAAAACCTGAGGTTCTAACCCTTCCCTAACCCTAACCCTAAACCTCCCCTACTCTACACAAAACAAAGAATGGCTTTACATACTTTCTAAATTATATTAAAACCATGTCCATGGGGATGTATGCTTAACTTAAAGGGGAACTATGAGGTGAGTGATTTCCACTCATCCTCATGTTTAGAGCCGGCCTGTGACAAAGAAGCTGTCACAGGTCAGCTCTATCGATCGGGAGGTTAGCAGAAACATGCAGCCAATCCGATCGTCTCCCTGCAGTGAGCGGAAACCGCTCCTGCAGGGTTCCCCCCTCCCCTCTCCGATCCTCCAGCGCTGAGTGGAGGAAAGAATGAGGAAGGGGGCATTCACAGCTGGCTCTGCCTCTAGATAGGCAGAGCCCACTATCACTCACGCAGCTGGGTGGATCTCGACAGTATTGTTGGGATCCATCCCGGCTGTAGCGCTCTCAGTATATAGCGAATAGCCCACGATATAGTGAGCTTTAGGGTCACAGGAGGACATATACTAACCTCCTCCCATGACCCAAAGAGAACTATGGGGAAAAACACTTACCCCATGGTTCTTTATTAAGTATATTAACAAAGTGGGTATGCTTGAGTGTTTGCTGTTTAATTATAGTAAACCTGGATTAGGCATCCCTGCTGAAGATCAGCAGCCAAACATGCAAGCTTACAACCTTAGTAAATCAACCACTAAGTCTTTCACATGATGCAGAGTTAGTGTCAGGACGTGTAAGGTGTTCCTACCAGCAGTTAAGTTACTTGGACAGTAGCGCTCTGAGGGTAATACAAACAGAAAACAATGATTCTTGATGGCAGCTTCAAAACACAACTGGGAATTTAAAATGTCATTTGCGAAATGTCTTTCCTCAGTAAAGTACAAATGTTTGTAAACTTTAATGAATCTCTTTTAATCAAAACTGAAGGTACCTCAAAGCATTTTCTTTCATATCAGTTGGTATTTAAAAAAGGTAATCACTGGTTTTCTAGTTAGGGAAAAAGTTCTCTTTGAAGGCACCTTAGTTCTCTTTAATATAAGCAGACAAGTCAAGCAAGTCTGCAAATATAACCTTTTTGCTCTTGGTGTGCTTTGAGAGCTGTGCATGTGGTCAGCAAGGGTTTTTGCACAGTTCTTCGTTTGCAAGCAAGGCCACATCACGATTGGCTGGCAGCGGTTAGTTAGCGGGGAGCTTCCACATCTAAAGGGATGTCTAGGTTACTTCCTTTCCTAATACACATTAGAAAACAGCAATGCCACTTTTATCTCCTTTCTACCATGCGCTTTGCTTTTTCTTCTTCAACCTGCTTCCAGGCAATTTACAGAAGGCATGTGCTTTAAAAAATGTGATCCTATGATTATATAGGTATTGTCACATCATTAAGGTCTCATTCACACGAGAAAAGGCCGGCACGTATAGCTCTGTGCTGCGTGCCCGGCAGTATCGGGCAGCTCCCAGGAAGGACAGGTGCTGCGTGTGATTAGTACGAAGCCCCTGTCCCAAGTGCAGGTCCGTACGGGTGCGTGTGTCCCGGCTCGGACACAGACAGGATCCATCCTGTCAGCGTACGAGTATGGACACCCACACGGACGTGCAGGGCGGGTGAGCATAGGGCGGCGTACGGCCGCGTACTCCCATAGAGAAGGACAGGGGCTGCGTACTCATAACACGCAGCACCTGTCCTTCCCGGGAGCTGCCCAAAACGGCCCTGCACGCAGCACAGAGCTGTACGGGCCGGCCATTTCTCGTGTGATTGAGGCCTAATAGTGATGATAGTATAACACATATCTGTTAAAAGTACATAAAGGCAGCTGGACTTGCTGTATTTTTTCTTGAAGACGTTTCACTGGTCATCCGACCAGCTTTCTCAATTCAGAATGACTTGTACAAAAAAATCCCTGGGAATAAATATGGTGAATGTTGCTCCACTCCACATAATCTGTTAGTCATTCACCATATTTATTCCCAGATCATTTTGTGTACAAGTCATTTTGAATTGAGAAAGCTGGTTGGATGACCAGTGAAACATCTTCAAGAAAAAATACTGCAAGTCCAGTTGCCTTGACTCATTTTTTACAGATATACCATGACCCGGATGAATGAGAACCTTCACAGACAGGTAGTATAACACATTTTATTTTCATTAAATATCTACAAATGCTTGTCAAATTCCTGCTGTGAAAGTAATTCCTGTCAGGTTCACCCCCAGAAAGCAGCAGATGATAAATTCCAATACATGTGCTTAAAGGAGAACTATGGGGTTAAGGCTTTTCCCCATAGTTCTCCTTAGGGTAACGGGAGGACACAAACTAGCGTCCTCCCGTCACCCTGTTCGGCTAGAACTATGAGGTGAGTGAAAAGCACTCACCTCATAGTTCTCCTTTAATTACTTAGAGCAGAAGAGCAGGAGAGATCAGATTACCCACTCTGCTATATGACCCACTCTCTGGAAGAGACAGGTCTTTCTTATTTAGTCATGTACAGTGTGCAAGCAAGCCTGCAGCCAGTGCTGGGTTTTCTTGCCAGAAAGCCCAGCATGCTTGCATGAGCCACATGGATGCACTCTCTATTAAACGTTTATTTGTAAAATTAAAAAAATCATAAAATTAAATTAATTAGTAAATAAATATTTAAATGTATTGATTAATATGGTGTTTAGAAAGCTTCTGGTGCTTCCACAGGCTGTGTAGAAATATCCATATTATTTTCAGTACCTCCTAATGTACACAGTCATACCAACACACGCTCTTGGGCCAAGTTGGAAGTTGATACACATGCACATTGGGCTCCATTGAGATAAAGGTACAAATTAGAGTAACGCTGTGCTTTGCTCACGGAGTCCCAAGCATAATATTCACTTTCATGCCTCTCTCGCCAACAACACATACTGTACACACCTTTTCTTTTATTTATATACCTCTTCGTTAAACCATTGAGAATGAGAAAAGAAAGCCCAGCATATGCTATCTGCTCCCTGCTCAGATCTGCAAACACAGGTGTACACTTGGGCGTTCCCGGGATGCACGTCCCAGGACCGTGCGTTTGTGTGCGGTTGCACACAGCGTTTGACGCGTGGCCCCATTGATTATCAAAGTAGGTACATGTACCTTCATTCACGACAGGTGTCACATGTTTTTTTTTCACCTACGATCATGCGCCAGCACGATCAGCGGTGGTGTGCGATTCCGTCCACACAGCCATCGGGGTGGTTTCATGGACGATTGCCACACGGTCAAGTGTGAACCTGGCCTTAAAGGAAGTCTTTAAAGTGACATTAAAGTCAGATTTTTTTCCCCCCTTCCAATCCTGCAGTAGGGACTTACCTTAAATGATGTCTCTTTATTCAATCATCTTCTTATTTACTGTCCTTTTCAGCTGTCCCTCCAGCGCTGCTGCGGGTCTCCGATCCAGCGCTGACTCCTCTGTCCTACACTTATTTGATGTCCCACAGTGTCTGTGCGGGTGCACGCTGCTTCATAGACTTACCTTGTGTCTCTCCTCGTCTCCCGGCCGAACATCTGAAATGCGCATGTGCCGCCCCAAGATCCTTTGCGGCCACCCGAGACTCTTCAAATGTTTGGACGGGAGCGCGCGGTGAAGACTCAGGTAAGTTTAAACCTGTTTCAAAAGGTTGTTTTTTTTTAGTTTTTGCATATATCTACTGCTTTAATAACCCCTTAAACACCAACTTCAATTGCAGATCTGAGATGTCATGTGACCAAATGTCAAAAGGCACAAGTGAAGTTGATTCTGAAGATGTGAAAAGGTGTGCCGCAGTAAACCAACACCCAACTTTCACTATGCCTACCGAGCAATGCAGAACCATGGCACACTTTGCTTGGTACACATTAGCTTACAGAAATAAGTTCCTACCATGAACAAATCCCTTGGTTGTGATCTCTGGTGGGTATCAGTTTATCACAACTAAAGAATGTACATTTATTTCTAGCACTATAAACCCTCATACTTTATCAACTACAAATAACTAAACTCATTTGTCTTGTTGAAGGTTTATTATCTACTAATACATCAAACTATCGTACTGGTTTTTATCTGACAAGCAGGATTCTCCAGCCCATCATATCAGAAATACACCCAGAGATATATGACCCACAGGTCAAGAAATTCAGCATTTCATTATGTTCTATGGTCATAGTATGTGTGATGTAGTTGTTCCGTGTTGCACTGTGCTGCTCTGAAAAAAAGTACTGCATGCTATGTTTGGGAAAAATGGCTAGCGCAGCTTCAACGCATCCGGCGTGAATCGGGCCTTAAAACTACCACTGGTCAAAACTGGATGATTTAGAGACTGCTATATAAACCTATACACTGAGCGAATGA